GTAGTAAAAATTGGAAAAGACTAATAAATATTATATATGATGAACAGTATGTGTATGTCCACATGTGTACATACAAGTGAGAATTAACCAAAGATGATCATAGATGCCAGACCCAAAGTGAGTACCAAGATGCTGGACAATAAGAGAAAGCCAAAAGATGGATACCTTGCCTTCTAAGAAGAATGTTAAGACCAAGTTACTGGGCTTGTGGTGATTATAAACATGCATATATTCTGGGAAGACAAAGTCTTTGACATCTCTATATAGATGTTCAGTGGGCATCTCAAATTTAATACATTCAAAACAGAAATCTTAATTACCTACTTAGTTTCATTCTTTCAACAGATATTTACTGAAGGACTACTGTGTGCCAGATACTGTTCTGGTGCTTGGACTATCCATCAGTGGGTATAACAAATATCTCTGCCCCTGTGTTGCTTATAATCTAGCAGAGAGAAATAGGCAGTAAATAATAAACTTAGTAGGTAAATTGTTAAGTACTGTAGAAAAAAGAAAAAGTACAAAAGGGTGAGTGGAATTGTGAGTGTTGGTGGGATGGGCTTGAGGATAATGGTGGGGAGAAGCAAGTAGCAACTTTAAGTGGGGAAGTCAAGTTGAAATTGGAGCAAAGAGCTGGAGGTGAGGGAATTAGTCAAGCAGGGATATCTGGGAGAAGGGCATACGAGGCAAAGGAGTAGCTAGAGCAAAGATCCAAAGTCAGGAGGTACCCAGTGTATCCAGTGAACTGCAGGGAGGTCATGTGGCAGATGCAGAGCCAGTGATGGAGAGAGTATGAAAGAAGGTTAAAGTGGGGAGGGAAATGGTAGAAGACAAATAACGTAGGGCCTTAGGCCACTCTAAAGACTTTGGCTTTTAGTCTGAGTGAAAAAGAGAGTCATCATACAGAAGAGTAACATCTGACTTACATTTTAACAGAATTAATCTGGCACCTCTGTTGAAAAAAGAATATAGAAGGGCAAGGGCAGGTACAGGGAGAACTGTTAAGAGTGATTGAAGAAATCCAGGCAGAGAAAGATGGTGGCTTGTACGAGGGCAGCGGCCATGGAGGTGAGGAGAAATCTTTGGATTCTGGATTTTGAAGTTAGAGCTACCATGATTTTCTGATGCTTTAGATTGGGATGTGACTCCAAAGGCTTTTGGCCTGAGCAGCTGTAAGGATGGAAGTGCCATCAGCCATGATAGGAGAGACTGCAGGTGGAGCAGGTTCAGAGAAGATGAAGATATGTTAAGTTTGTGATATTCAAGTAGAGATGTTGAATAGACAATCGGATGTACAAGTCTGGAGTCTGGGAAAGAGGTCTAGGCTAGAGATAGAAATTTGAGAGTTGTCAGCCTGTAGATAATATTTAAACCATGAGACATCAAGGGAATAAGTAAGAGAAGAGGACCAAAGACAGAGCTTAGGCATGTCATAGGTTCTTCCTTTGTTCTCCTTTTAGATAGTTAATGGCACTACTATCTCCCTAGTTTCTCTAGCCAAAAATCTGGAAGTCATCCTTGATTCTGTATAAACAAACCCTTTCTAAATCCAAATCTACCTGCTTCATGTCCAATACTAACCTAGTCCAAGCCATCACTTTCTTCTAATTCTTCACTCTGCTTCACTTTTACCCCCCACCCCCAGTCATTCTCCACCCAGCAGTTGGAGAATGATCTTTTAAAAAGGCAATTCGTGGGGCACCTGGGTGGCTCAGTTGGTTAAGTGTCCAACTTTTGATATCAGCTCAGGTCTTGGTCTCAGGGTCATGAGTTCAAGCCCTGCATTGGGCTCCATGTTGGGCGTGGAGCCTACTTTTTTTTTTTTTTTAAAGGCAATTCAGATCATATCACACTTTTGTTCAAAACCCTCCAATGTCCTGGGTAGCAAGGGAAGCAATCAACAGAGTAAAAAAGCAGTCTATGGAAAATATTTGTGAACCATATATGTGATAAAGGGTTAATATTTAGAATATATAAAAAACTCCTACAACTCAAAAACAAACAAACAAAAAACCCACAAGTAATCTGATTAAAAATGGGCAAAGGACTTGACTAGACATTTCTTCAAAGAAAATATACAAATGGCCAACAAGTATATGAAAAGATACTCAATATCACTAATCACCAGTGAAAAGCAAATCATAACCTCAATGACTTATCACCTTATACTCCTTTAGGGTTGGTCATTATCAAAAAACAAAACAAAACAAAACAAAATAGCAAGTGTTGGTAAGGATGTGGAGAATTTGGAACCCCTTGCCTGGTTGGTGGGAATATAAAAATAGTGCAGCTGCTATAGGAAACAGTATGGAGCTTCCTCATTAGAAATAGAATTACCATATGATTCAGCAATCCTGCTTCTAACTACATATACAAAAGAATTGAAGCAGGATCTTAAAAAGATATTTGCACACCCATGTTCACTGCAGCATTATTTACAGTTGCCAAGAGACAACCTAAATGTCCACTGACACCTGGATAAAGAAAATGTGGTAGACATGTACAGTGGAATATTATTCTGCCCAAAAAGGGAAGAAACCACATCTGATAAAGGACTGTTATCTAAAATACATGAAGAACTCTTAATTAAAACTCAACAATAAAAAAAATAACCTGATTAAAAAGTGGGCCAGAGACCTTAACAGACACCTTACCAAGGAAGTTATACAGGTGGCAGGGGCGCCTGGGTGGCTCAGTCAGTTAAGCATCTGACTCCTGATTTTGGCTCAGGTCATGACCTCAGGGTTATGGGATTGAGCCCCACGTTGGGCTCTGCGCTCAGTGCAGAGTCTGCTTGTCCCTAGCCCTCTGCTCCTCCATCCACTTGATCTCTCTCTCTCTCAAATTAATAAATAAAATCTTTAAATAAAGAGTTATACAAGTGGCAAATAAACATGAAAAGGTATGGGGAGCCTGGATGGCTCAGTCAGTTAAGCATCTGCCTTCGGTTTAGGTTGTGATCCAGGGTCCTGAATGGAGCCCTGCATTGCATCGGGCTCCCTGCTCAGCAGGGAGTCTGCTTCTCCCTGTGCCCCTCCCCCCAGTCGTGCGGGCTCTCTCTCTGTCTCCAGTAAATCAATAAAGTTTTCAAAAAAGAAAGAAAAGATGCTCCACATTGCATGTCATCAGGGAAATGCAAATTAAAGCAACAAGTTACCACTTCCCGCCTACCAGAAGGGCCAAAATCCAGAACACTGACAACAAATGCTGACAAAGACATGAAGCAACAAGAACTCTCTTTCATTGGTGATAGGGGAAGGCAAAATGCTACAACCACTTTGGAAAACAGTTTGGTGGTTTCTTAAAAAACCGAACATACTCTTACTATATGATCCAGCAACTATGCTCCTTGGTATTTACCCAAAGGAGTTGAAAACTTACGTCCACACAAAGATCTGTATACAGATGTTTATAGTGCCTTAATTCATAATTGTCAAAACTTGGAAGCAACCAACGCATCCTTCAGTAGGTAAACAGGTAAAATAAACTGTGGTACATCCAGACAATGGCATATCATTCAGCACTAAAAAGAAAACTATCAAGTCATAAAAAGACATGGAGGAACTTTAAATGCCTATTACTAAATGAAAGAAACCAATCTGAAAAGGCTATATACTGTGAGATTCCAACTATATGACATTCTGGAAAAGGCCAAGCCATATGGAAATAGTAAAAAGATTAGTGGTTGCCGGGCGCCTGGGTGTCTCAGTTGGTTAAGCGGCTGCCTTCGGCTCAGGTCATGGTCCTGGAGTCCCGGGATCAAGTCCCACATCGGGCTCCCTGCTCAGCAGGGAGTCTGCTTCTCCCTCTGACCCTCCTCCCTCTCATGCTCTCTGTCTCTCAATCTCTCTCTCACAAATAAATAAAATCTTAAAAAATTAAAAAAAAAAAAAAGATTAGTGGTTGCCAAAGGTTAGGGAGGGGGAGGGGTTAATAGGTGGGGCACAATGGATTTTTAGGGCAGTGAAACTACTCTATATGATACTGTAATGGTAGAAACATGTCACTATACATTTGTCAAAACCCATAGGATATACAATACCAAGAGTGAACCCTAATGTAATTTGTGGACTTTGGGTGGTAAGAACATGTCAATAATGTAGGTTCATCAGTTATAACAAATGTACCACTTTGGTGCAGATGTTGATAACAAGGGAGCCCATGCTTGTTTAGGGACAGGGGGTAAATGTACCCTCTCAATTTTGCTATGAACCTAAAATTGCCTTAAAAAATAAAGTCTATTAAAAAAATCAAGTGACAGGAATGATAAGGTAATAAGCTTTCTACAGAATGAGTATGTGGGCTTATATGGGTGTAGAAGTGGTGAAGGTAGTCGGCTGTGGAGGCTTACTCCCCTTTTTACTTCCCTCTTCCATTGAACACATTTTGAAAGGGTTTGTTGTGTCTCACCTTCTCCCCCTCTCCCATTTGTGTAACTGCACCACCCTATGTTTGGCCTTTCTTTTTTCTCTTGCCACCTTCTTGAAAAGGGAAATACAGTTAGACTAGTAGGCACTTAATAATGCTTTGGCATGAACATCCTTCACAACTTTAAGATCATGTGTACCTTTCATGCTCATGCTGTCAAAAATCTTAACCTCTCTCTCTGTATCCTACTTCTCACATAAAATGGGTGAAATAATACCTACCTTATACACTTGCTGTAAAGATTAAATGTTAATACTCTCAAAGCTCGTAGGACAGGTCTGGCATATGGCAAACACCCAAATGTAGAGCTGTTATCATTATTACTGTTGTTATTAACTGATGTGTTTGTGCTCTTCATAATTGTTCATCCTATCAGTCAAATACATTTCCTTTATGTATATTCCTTTTCAGTGTATATTCCTTTAACCTTCCTTCTTAGTCTGCTCTGTAATCCAAGAGCCTTCCCCAATTTCAAACAATGTTATGAAAAGAAAATTTATAGATGCAGAGATGGCTCATTTAATTTTTTTGGTCTTTCTGAGAGTAAACTTATTTTTTCCTTTATGTTACAGGTGGTATGCAAGATTACAATTATGTATGGGCCAACTGTTTTGAGATCACATTAGAGCTGTCTTGTTGCAAGTACCCACCTGCTTCGCAGCTTCGACAAGAATGGGAGAACAATCGTGAGTCTTTGATCACATTGATTGAAAAGGTAAAAGTAGCTGACTGGAAGGTTGGGGAATAGAAATAGCGGATGATATAAGGGAGAAATTCAGTTGCATTGGAATAACAATCCTTAACAGTTCTCTTCCTCTGGAGGGCTTTCTCTGATTGTCTTAGAACATTATAGACTGAAATAATCAGCCAAACTTGTACTGTCAGGTTCTTACAATGTCATGTGATCATATTTGCTAGAGAGCCTTTGACCACTATATGAACCATGGACATCAGTTTAATTTAAATATCAGACAGGGTAATATATGATTGAATGTACCAGAAATTATTACTTAATGAGAAATTATTACTTGTTGAGAAAATTAGAAGTCTGGTTTGGAGGAGAGGGAATTTCAAAAGCATATTACTAGTCTACATGTCAGACACATATGACTTAAGTTTAAGAGTATTTTTTGTCTATATTTTATTTTCACTTGGAGCATAGGAAAATAGAGAAGCAACCTTTTTTTTTTTTTTTTAGCAGTTCTAGCATCAGTGAAGAGAGGTTATGCAGTCTACTTTGATTCATGTTTTTTTAGGTTCACATTGGAGTTAAAGGATTTGTTAAAGATTCAGTAACGGGATCTGGTTTAGAGAACGCAACCATCTCAGTGGCTGGTATTAATCATAATATCATAACAGGCAGATTTGGTGATTTCCACAGATTACTTGTTCCTGGAACTTACAACATTACAGCTGTTTCAACTGGGTAAGAACTTAGAATCTAAAAATATCAAGCCTCTATTTATAGCTAAGACAGAAATACAGTCTAGGAGGGCGCCTGGGTGGCTCAGTTGGTTAAGCGACTGCCTTCGGCTCAGGTCATGATCCTGGAGTCCCGGGATCGAGTCCCGCATCGGGCTCC